TGCTGGGGGTTTTTAATGTTAACTGTTTGTGGCCCTGACTGCAGCAAATCAATGGCAAAAGCATCGATGTAAGTAACAGCTACAATTCTAGAAGCAAAATGGCTGTTATGTTTTTAATAATCGTGCATTTATTAATGTTTCATGTTTGGTTGCCAAAAGTCAGTTGGATAGGTTTGGATCTTCGCACACCATTTCTGAGCAGCAGACATTGGTTTGGCACCAGAGCCCTAAGGACTGTGCAGTGCCAGGCAGGTGCTGCAAAGATGGGGCTCTGCGGGAGTGGTGCTGTTCACAGCATGGCCCGTCAATCTTCCTGCAAAAGAAATGGAAGAAAAGGAAAACTGCAGGAGCAGAGAGACTTGTGCCTCTTCAGCCTTACCCTTGGAAGAAGCAGTTATTTTCCTGGTAGAACAGCTGTACTGAGCTCACTCAGCTGGACAGCAGATCTATGAGGAGGATGGCGTTTTTCTGACACAGAGCACAAACTCCATGTGGTGGGTTCTGCAAAATGTGTGGTGTGTATGGAGTAGGGGGATGCTTTGCTGGAGCATTGCTCCAGCAATTTGTTTTTATTAGCTGAAGTTTAATTTCACTTTTTAGAGGGAAATTTGAAAGACAAAATTCATCAGTGTGATGAAGGGAACATGGTTAGACACATGCCTGAAATCAGTGAAGTGCTTGCCCAAGTGGGCACTGGAATAGTTTTTGCTGAATTGAGCACCACAGGGTGTAGCAGATTAGTTGGCATAGGCTCTCCAACTTTTCCACATGCTGAAGCATCTTTAAAATTTCATTGGACGCTCAAAGTTAAGAGGGTTGAGAGGTTAAGAAACTGGCTATGCTCTATATTGCAAATGCATTCCGATGTTGAACAAGAGGAGTCAGAAAAGAATTTATTTTTTTGTTATGGAAGAGTCACTTTTTAGTTTGACTTTTTGCTACAGTGTATCCCATCCACATTTGAAACACTGATCTGGTAACTGCTATCACAACTTGAATTTGTCAGAAGGTCTATATGTAAACTAATTTGATCTCTCTAATTCCGAGCTTGAAAAGACCAGGTGTAAACCTGGTTCACTTTGGAAGTATTTTAGGCATGTTAATGCAGGACTAAAGTGAACCTTATAAACTTTATTGCAAGCAGACAGATCAGGTCTTTCAGAACACTTGTTTCTTGAGTGCTTTCATCTGGGTTTGCTGGATTCAAACTAACTTAAAAGTCTTTTAAGCAGCCTGCTTTGTGTGTATGTGGGTCATTCAAATTTTGTGTCTATACAACTGCCAGAAGGAGTGTTTCAAGTCTGAAGGCCAGAATAAATTCTCACGAAACAGAACAGCTTCAGTTATCTTCGTCTTTCAGTTAAATGCGATGAATTGATGTGGGCGTCATCCACAACAGAGTGCTTCACCTAGTGACCTCCATTGTATGGTTTTAATAGGGCAGTGAATATGGCTGAGGGAAAAGGGGAACAAAAGACATCTTAGTACAGATCTTGTCTTACTTTTCCTAGTTTTTTAGGCTCTGCTACTGCTGCTTTAGAAGAATTTGTTACTTTCCCTCTTCCAGATAACCAGCTGTGACCCAAACAACAGTAGTCCCCAGTGACATGTGGACACTCAGCACGAGCTGCTGGTGGTTAAGGAGGGCCTTGAGCAGAATATGAGAAAAGGTACCAGAGGGGGTTTATACCACTGGCCAGGCATCTTCCCTTCCCTGGGGTCTGTGACTATTCAGACTGTGCTCAGCCTAAGGGCATTTTCCAACCATTAGAGTTGGGACTTAATCTGCACTTAATCAACTACCGCTTTGTGAATTCAGTTGGGAATAAGACTTGATAATCTCACACTTAAGAAAGATGTCCTCTTCTATGATGCTCTGTGCAGAGAGAAAGAACATTTTGCCCAAGTTCCCCAAATACTGAAGTGGTTTGGACACTGGCTGTGCTGTGAGTGGACCTGATTACTACTCCTAGCTGTTTCCCTTCACTTGCTTTCCTCATCAGTGGGCTGCAGTGAGACCCAAATACAGGGATAAAGAAGTACATAGTGTAGATTGAAATCTGTTATTCACATTAGAGTACTTGTTGCAAGAGTACTGATTTGAGAGTCCACTTTTGGAGGAGTCTTGCTGGACACATTTGCATTGCATGAAACTTATTTCTCACATACCTTCTGCCCTTGTCTGTATGCTTTTGAGTGAATAATGCAGCTTCACAATCTAGTTTGTGTCCCTTTTCTCCCTGTCCATCCCAGGTCATGGACTATGCATCTATTTTACCTGTAGGTGTTTGCTCTTAATTGCAGCAATAAACTATCTACAAGTAGTGGTAAAGCAATGTGGGAAATTCCTTGGACTTCCTTGTATGAGACTGAGATTCCAGTTGGCTTATTCATCTGACAGAATTGTCCTTTGAAACCTGCAGAAAAGGTGGCCAGCTGCCTACTACAAGCAGTGGAAAGTCATTTGTAGCTCTGCTACCACCAGAGTTAGCTGATTAATGATGATAAACATGCTGTGAGGCCAATTCCAACTTTGTTTTGTTTTGAATTTTTGTTTCTTGCAGTTTGACCAAGACAAAATTTTGTAGAATAGCTTTTGGGCATGTTGTTCAGCAGGAATGAGGAATTTTTTTCCTATTAATATTATTTATCTTTTTAAGGAGTTAGCACTTTGATCACCTTTGTCTATCACTCAGTTCTGAGCCTTGCTTCATCTTCTGATGGTCAATCCAAGTACACTTGTTAGGTAGGTTAGGGAAAAAGAGCATATATTATCATATCCTTGTGTGCAATTATCACCTTTGTAGCAGCTGAACAGTTCGTGCAAGTTGATTGTCCTTGGCAGACCCAGATAATACCTAGTGCTCTTGGCTCTGAGGTTTTTCCAAAGCTCCAGAAATTCTCCTACAGGGCAGTCCATGGCTCTAGTGCAAGTTTACAGCAGAGGCAGTACTTTGGAAGGTGGGTGGAAAGTTAGATCGGGAAATTGGTGGGTTTGAATTTGTTTGTTTCAAGAAAGAGTCTTTTTCTTTTCTTTGGGGTGATAGCTGCAGGAAACGCTGCAATCGAAGTATTCCAAATGTCTGTGCAGACTGGAAAATCTCTGAGACCCACCAACTAAAACTCAACCATGAACATATTTCAGATATGTCAGGCTGCCTTTGAACTCCTTTACGGAATGTTGCATCTCCCAACAGCAAGCTACAAATGTCCTCAAAGGCATTATGAATTTTGCTTGAAGAAACGTGAAATAAAGGTGATAAAACTCTTTGCAAGGAATTTATCATAACTGCTCACATTTAAAAGTGAAAGAAGGGCACTGGGAGTGCTCATCAGTGATTAGGTTAGACAGTTTTTTCGTCCTGATATTTTTATTTTCAGTGGACGGTCTTAAAACTTTCACTAGATGATGTATATAACCTTGAAGTTAAATGGCAGGTTTCCTAGCTACAGGATTGGCCTAACAAGAAAATTGTCACCCAAAGAAATCCTTCATCCATGTTACTGTACTTGCAGTTTCTTCCATGTGCATGATCTGAAGATTTTCTACCAGCACAACTAACATTTAGTCTCCAAGTAGTCTGTTTTCTTAGTGTCTTGAGGAAACTGCCAGCATACCAGAAAACAGTGAGCCCTTTCACTGCAGTGACTGAACTATTGAAGGGATTGGTATTTCTGTCACTACAGGATAAAAGATAACTTTTCTTCAGCTGAAGTATCACAATTTAAATCTCATTGATGTTCTTACACTCTCCTCAGTTTATCAGTGTTATTTATGTATGACACAACTGTCTTTCTAAATACCTGTAAAAGTAGCTTTGAAGAGAAAGATTTGGATTAACCTTTTAGATAGAAACATTTTCAGTTTTTGTAACCATTCCAGTAATGTTTGAACACACTCCAGTGCCAATTAACAGGAAACCAATAGTTTTGCCAGTGGAGAGTAAGTGCTGTAAAATATGTCATTGAAGATGATTTACGTTGCAGCATTGCTTCACTTTAAGGAAGATAAATCTCATCCTGCTATAAATGTTATGAATATTATTTCACTGGTGTTTATATTAAGCATGTATGTGTAGTCACTCCAACCCTTGGGGGGAAAAAAACAAACAGGAATTCCTCTAAGAATTCACACTGCACAAGGTTATGATTTTATTTCCATGTACTTCCATTAGCTCTTTCCTAAGTGAGTAATGGGTCCAAAAGATAGGAAGTTACTCTGTATGTCTTCTTTCAGTGGAGAAGGAAGAAAGACATAGATAAGAGGATGATTTTGTATTAAATCTCTCTTACTTTCCATGGCATCTTGTTCTTAGCGTCTAATTTGCCTCTCTCTGAAAAGACAAACCAGAAGCCTGGAATTTTTTCCATGCGTATTTGGTGAAATATAGAATCACTTTTATCAAGGGAACACTTGAGCAGCTGATGTAAATTGTTGATATATGTATCTGTATCCAGCATATCTATCTGACACAAATGCAATCCCTAAAGCAAAGTATGGAGTGCTGGAATCTGCTACGTGAATTTCTAGCTCATTGTGAATGATTCTTTTCATAATTAAAGAGTGTATTTGACATGCATTACTCCGAAGTCACCTGTAGAAGGCTTAATAACATTTCTTATTATCTTTGTCCTGGTGTCTAATAACAGGTGAACTTCCCTGCAACAGATGTGCAAATTGTCCTCTCTTTGCTGTCCTGCTAGTTTTCACAAAACTTTTAAAAAACTTAATTATCCTTAAAAATTTGTGGAGGTTTTTCCCTGTTACATTTAGGTGAAATTAGCCAGTATTTTCAGAGAGCTAATGAGGCGAGGAAAAGCAGCCAAATGAGCACAGTGCTTGGTAACAAAAGTTGTAGAAAACCAGACAAAAATTTTGTTTCAACTTCTATTAATGTGACCAGGGTGTAGTGGTTTGGCAGTGCTAGAAGAAATCTTGTGTTGAACTGTAAATTATGTAAACCTGGTATCCTAGAGTTAATCTCTTGTACCTTTTGCAGGTGGAGATTTACATTTTACCTTTATATATTTACCTATGGAGTACGGTTCCTGAAAAAGGTAGGCATTTATATTATTATGCTTTCATAACACATCACAGACTTGTTTGAAGTCTCATGTAGGTAGAACATAAAGCACAGGCATAAAGCCTATGTTCTCAAAGAATAAAAATTAAAACTGACTTAAAATACATAAAATGCTTTGCTACTGGCATTAGTAAGGAGTATAAGTTCTTATCAATATTTAATGGGTTTTAAAAGAGAAAAAAGGTCTAACAACATGCCTAGTTCACTTAATTGATTTTCGTTATAGACACTAAGCTGGCAGTAAGGCTTACCAAAGTATTCATCTCAGTTTCTCCATCATCCTTGTTTAAATACCTCTGGCAGAGGTTACTTTTTACTAACAAACAAAACACATTAGTGTTTTATAAAACACCTTTTTTTTTTAATCTATTCTTTGTCTGAAGTTTCTATGGAGTTTCCTGTCAATGCTGTGTTTCAGGTGATTTAAGCAGAGAAGGATATTGTTAGCTTCTAAACACTCTGTTTACCCTGCCGTAGATGGTAATGTGGATTTATGGTGCAAATTGCTTTTACAGTGTGACTAGTTCTCAGAGCTTTTGTGAAAGTCGGGCCATATTTTTGCACTTCTGAGTGGTGAAATTTGGGGAATGTGTGCGCTCAGTGTGTTGGTGTTATCTTACCTTGTTTTTTTGGACAAAATGTATCCTAAATGTTTCTGGTGCTTCGTAAGTAAAAGACGCTGTTAAAAAAAGTACTAATCATTTTTATGGCTGTACCTCTTGAGCCTGTCTCAGGTGGCAGGCAACTTGGTGCCAGTAGGACTGATGATGTGCCTGTCTGGGGAGGGCATATCAGAGCTGTTCTCAGCTATTTCGCAGTGGTCAGCCCCAGGGGAAGTGTGGGCACCAGTGCTCCAAACCAGCATGTGATGTGCAATCTCTCCCTGCCTCCTTGAACACTTATATTTTGTGTGTACTTCATCCATTAACAGGCTGTATGGTCATGATCTGATATCCTGTTCTCTGCATTTGGGTTCGCAAATGTCTGTGGTATGAAATATGAGAACAGTTTTAATAGTGAATTGTCACAGCCTAAAAGGTTACTCGGCCTGCAGGTGTGCAGAGATCACGGCTGTGGGTTCACAGGATTCAGTAATAAACAAGGACCCAGAGACTTTATAATCTCAATTTTTCTATTTCATTACTGTAAATGCCACAAAAATCACCCTTAACAAATACCACAGTCACTATAAGAAATCATTCCTATGATTAATAAAGTGAATCTCTCTCAGCACAAAGAAAGTGTCTGTTCTATGAAAAATTCTGAATACCAGCATTTCTATAAACTAAGAAGAATATAGTAAATTCATGCTTCATTACGAGCCATTGTGAGCTGTTTCTAAAAGCTGGAAACCTTTGGAATGGTCAGGATGTCTTCCAGTTCAGCATATCACTGTGGTGTGAGGAGGGCTGGCTGGCACAGCATGGTTGTTTGAACAAGGTATACAACTGCTTGCTTAACAAGGAGCAGCTGTGTTCTTTTTGCTGTAATTTTAATTTCCAACATATTTCACTTTTACAAATAAAAAATGTTTATTATGTAATTATGTATGTATTTGTAATTACTCATTTATACACAGTGTTATAAATGAGCCTTGTACCATTTTATGCTATTGTCATTATTCCAGTGTTCTGCTTTGTTTACTCAGGTTTTTCTCTTGGAAATATATGTAAATTAACCAAGTTATGATTATGATTGTGTTTATATTTACACTATCTCCCTAGTAACACTTTGTAACTAAAAGAAAGTACAGGCTTTTTGTCTGTTCATCAAAACTCTTTGGTGTTGATCAAACACTAAAGATTTTGCTGAGTCCACTTAGATGGGAGATCTGTATTTGCAAGGAGTAAAATCCAGACCCAAAAATCTGGAGGGAGAGCTTTGCTACAGTACCCAAGTGGATAATCCTTTTTAATTTGTCTTGGTTTTCATAATTGAATAATTGCAAAGAACACTAAATTTCTTTCTTAGGAAGCTAGTGAAAGAATTTAAGCATAATAAATTCTCTGACAAATTTGATAGAAAGATCTTTCCTTCAAAAATCTGTTTTGCCTGGAGATAAAGTTCGTATCATAGTCAGTAGCATCTTACTGTGTTAATGCTACGGTAGAGGTTTGAATCCTTTCAAATAACAAGGTCTGCTTAAGCCCATCCCTAAGAATACTAGTCCAGAAGTAAGCACAGTGAGTGAGCTCAGGTGTACGGGCAGTCCCTACTGGTGCAGTTCGACCACAGCAACGTGTGCTGCCTTACTGAGAGAGGGCATAAAGAGTGAATACCACGAATGTTTGTGTTTTGAAGAATGGAATATGCCACCAGTGTAGCACCACATTGGAAATACTTGTTTTGACTTTTAAAACTTACACTAATGCGTAGCTAATACATGATTTTGGGTTGTTGCATTAGACATTTTGATATGGTATGTCTTTCAAACATCCAAATGTATTAAGAACATATTTTTAGAAGGAAAACTGCATTTTAGTGCTTTTCAAAATAACAGAATCATTCAAGGTTGGTTGGTTTGTCCATTTCTGGATAGTTAAGATCCTTGATTTGAGAAAACTTTTTGCCATGTTGAGTGGGAAGTGCTCCTCGTTAGTTGATCATTAAATTACTTTAACTCTCACAGGAACTTCCTTTAGAAAAGTGAACCAGCTCAATCGTAAAAAAGGTGCTCCCTAAAACACTCTGCCCAATGCATCACCTCTTCTGTAATTTCTGTAATTTCTGTAATTTCTTTGTTAACTCTTGAATTGCCAGGCAACAAAATACTCGGACATATATTATTGTCCTTCCCTCCTGACTTTACCTAGTCTCCTTACAACCTGCTGCTCCCTTGCTTTGCTGCATATGTTGCTGACTTGATGGGGTTTTCTGTTCACTTCTGACTCTCTTACGTTTTCTTTCCTTAGTCTGAGAGTGAAATTAACCTACAGGACTGGCATGGGGCCTACCAATTACTTAAACACCACTTTGAGCTAGTTTGAGCTCCTTTGCTTTGTGCTGGCCCTTTGCCTAGAGGTGAATTTTGCATTCTTTCTGAAAACACCTTTCTCTTAATGCCGACAGCACATGAATCATTGCTACTTTGTCTTCTACTGTCACCTTCCCTATTTGCTGCATAAAGCAATATTATTGCATTAGTGCAGTATCAGCAGAAGGGTGGATGTCAGCGTCTCTTTGTGCCCACTGGACCACCCAAGAAGATCTAAACAGGATACTGTAGCAAACCACCATTCTTGCAAAAAGTGTCATTAGGTCTTCGGTAGCTTTGTGAGGCTTATCTGGCATTTGGGGGAGATGTACTCCAGCTTAATAAGCAGTAATTACTTAGATTTATCAATTCTGTTTTAGTTCTGAAAGTGTGATACTATCAACATGGCACACATTCCAAGGTTAATTTATTTTTGAATGGTGGTAACTAACTACATTCAAGTTTTAGGTTTGCCTGGGTAGCGCATCTTGCAAGGAAAAAGAGGCCTAGGGTTTCAGCTTTGATTTTTGCTTCCCTACAAAAGCAGGTGAAAGCTAAAAAAGCTGCCCTACAGAACAGTCATAACACCCTCTGAAATGAGGTGGTAAGCTTGTCTTTGTTACTGTCCATGACTGCAGGTAAGGGCTGATCTAGATAGAAGAAATTTATGCACTGAATAAAGCAACTTCTAAATTTTTGTAGTAACTGCACATAATATATCAATTCTTTTGACATACTGTATTTCCTGAGTACATGCTGGAGATTTATAGCTTTCTTCTTACTGAAGGCTGTGTCTCTATCAAATTCTTCTCTTGGGTTTTGTCTTTTTCCAGTGACAGATGTATACTGTTAAGGTATTCATAAAATAAAAAAAAATGATACTTCTGTTGAAAAGTATTTTCCAAAAATCTCAATTCATAGGGAAAAAGTGACTGACATAAAACTTTGTTGTCCAAGTTTGCTCTGTTGCAACAGAACCTATATGTTTTAAATAAGTTTTTCTCTTTGTGATGTCTGCAGGACACTTAGATTGGGTCACTTTGCTGAATAAAGTTCATCATGAACTCAGAAAAATCCCTCAGGTTAGGAAGGCTGAGTACTGACTATAGTGTCCTGAGTGTGGCTGTTTGCTGTAGGCCATGATTGGGTGCTGATATTGTGTATGAGGGATTTTAGCAGTGTAAAATGCATAATAACTCATGCTACCACCCACCCTCCTTCCCTCTATCCGTATCTGCTTTCCACAGGCTCTGAGTCGTACACCAGATTGTTCACAACACTCTCCCCCACCTCCTGCCAACAGAACCACTGAACTACGAAAGCAGGAGAACTTTATGGAGATTGTGCTGGTCTCATCCTTGGTGCCTGTGACCTCAAATGGGTGGATGTTGTCAACTTTGTTGCGATAATAAGAGTGACACTGTGTGAATATTCCTACAATGTGTACAGTTGATGGCACAAACCATATCCATCTGCTTCAACTGTTTCCCTTTTCTTGGGCCTAAAGAAACAGTAAAAGGGCAGCTTCTACCATTGTTGTGTGCCTTTAGGGTGCAGCTGTATGATTGGTCTTTCTTACAAATATTTTATGATATCAAAGAAACTTGTGCCCCTTTCAAGAGTGAAGTGAGAGACTTAAGTCTTTGGCAGGAGAGTCAAGAAGGCAAGATGCGCTTGCTTGCTTACTTACAAACAGATCACGTGGAGAGGAGTAACTCGCAGCCTTCCACATTCTTAACCAAGCCATTGTATCACCTACAAATTTTGATTTATATGTGCATAAGAGACCAACAGACTTCAGAAAAAAATTTACCATAGAGTTATTAGTATTTAATTATCATATTATACATTCCTCCCTTCCCCAGCTTCTTTTCAGGCTGCAAGGTTTAATTTTATTAAAGGGTTTGCTATCTGTAACTAGTGAAGTTGTTAATGATGTTTCAATCTCAAAGCATCTCGATGAAATTGTTTCTTTGGTTTTGGGATTTTTTTTAAAAGTT